AAACTATGAAGGAAAAATCTGTATTAACACGAGAAACCCCAAGTCAAATATTGTCGACTATCGTGCACGACATTCCAAGTTAGACAATAATTATTTTATTATTTAAAAATGTATATCGTTGTAATTGTATGATTGTATGTGTAAAGTAAAGTATCTACTTGTGTATACGCGTTTTTATCAAATAAGTCAAAAAAATTGTATACAACAAGTTATCATTAAATGCATTCAAGTTTCTCGACATCCAAAACCAAAATATGTAATTATGGATTTCGAAATCGCTGCTATGAATGCAACAAATTACGTGTTTGGTGATAGCGTGCAAGTCAAAGGGTGTTTTTTCATTTATGCCAAACTGCAAGACGAAAAGCTCAAACATTTTGACAACATTGGATATTCACCCAATAGTCCCAATTTCTCATGTAGCAATTTTCTTATTTTGTTGTAATTCAAAAACGAATAACATAGATACATGACAATTTCAATGTTTATATTTTCATTTTCTATTCACCATGACATTTTGACTCATTTTGTGGGCTATTTACAGACAATTCAAATTTCAATTTTTTTTTTTATAAGTATCAATTAAATTTTATTTGTTTGGTCAAGAAATGTAATACAAGGTTCCAGGTGTACTGTTACAATAGCAGTTGAAAAATACAGTCGATTCCGCTTTATTGGGACACATCAGTTGGGTGTTATTTTGTCCCAATAAAGCGGTTGTCCCAATAATCCGAAATACAAAAACGAACATATAAATTTGTTGAAAAACTGATTTGTTTTATATATTTTTATTATTACAAATTACAAACAATGTATTATAGAAATTATTTGATAGTACAAAAAGAAAAACATGATATAACCTAATTATTTATAAAAATACATAGATACATATAAAGTACATATAAATATTTTTTATTTTTTTATTACTTATGTATTTTATCTTATTTAAAAAAACTGTTGATTTCGGTACTCCTAAAATTTCCGAAAGACGACGTGTATTACAGCCTGGTAGCTGTTATTTAATTTTGTCCAGAATTTCTAATTTTTGAGCAAACGATAAATCTTTACGTACATGAGCCATCGTTGCTACACACGACTGATGCACCATTGCACCAAATAACATTTAACATATATCACATTTGAAAATACGATAAAATATAAGATAAAATAAAGTTAAATAAGATAAAATGTAATGTAATAAATAATAATCGATTACGAGAGTCCGTCACGATTGTTGAACTATTGATCTATTAATATACTCGATAAAAATGTCCCAATTATCCGGATTCGTGGCCCAGATAAGCGGTGAATGTTTACCCTACAAGTATACATTTGTTTTTGTAATTGAAGAATTGTCCCTATTAACCGGTGTCTCTATTAAGCGGAATCGACTGTATTAACAAATACATAGGCACAATTTTTTTTTTAAGCATATAAAAGTTTGACTTTTGACAACATTTATCGAATTTAAAAATGATTTTGCAGTTTAAAATTTATAAAATGTTCAACTTTTATAGCTAAGGATTGAAAACTTAAACAACGTGCCAGGTAAGTTACGTTATTTTGTAACCAAAAAATCTCAGAAATTTAAAAACACGGTTTTTTTGTCATAGTTATTTTATGTTCAAACTTGGACTAAATCACATATTAAATAACCAAGAATAATGATTTTAGTTATTTTTTTGTGATTTTATGATTCTAATTCTACTTACCGGCTACCGTATAAATTATAAGTATAATAAGTAATAACTAATAACAATATAAATATAATAGAAAATATCCACACTGACAAACCGTCATCAGAATCGTTTTTCGTGTACAATGATATTATATCATTGAATTCAAATTTAATACCATCCATTATACATAGTGACTCACTTATTGTAATCTACTGTACAGCAGAGCAACATCCAATTACCCACCTTTTTAATGTTTATTTTTAATCACATACAAAGAACAGTATAAAAACCGACATGCCAACTCTCAAAATACTATCCTCCGATATTTTAGCAGCGGCTTATTTCACTGTAATATTACTCTAAAATCATAAAAAAAAAAAAACATTTTTCGTGAATGCTTAATAATAATATAATATTTTGTTCACGTGGGTCTTTGAAAATAAATATTGCACTGACAAAAGCCACACCAGTTTGTCATCCCCACCGAGTCATTGAACCATCTGTACACCAGCCGTGTAGTAATGCCACGCCCTGCGCACAAGGTTGCTAACTTGAATAGTTTGTCATAGAAGAAGAATTGAGCGGGATAAGTTATTTAAAATTTAAATAATCACATCTGGTTGCTGAGTTTGCATGTACGTACCGTAGCCACGAAGACGTATGAATGTTGCATTTTATAAGTTGAACATCAACAACAATAATTATCGTCATTCCGTCTATTTTTAGGGTTCCGTACCTCAAAAGAAAAAAACGGAACCCTTATAGGATCACTTTGTTGTCCGTCCGTCCGTCTGTCAAGACCGTTTTTCTCAGGAACGCGTGGAGGTATCAAACTGAAATTTCTATATGATACTCAGGTCTACTGTCCCTGGAAGCTGTAGAAAATTCAACCTTCTAAGCCAACGCAATCAAAAGATACAGCCATTTAGGCCGCAAATTTTCGAAACTCGCACGGGAATCAAAACCTACAGGGTACTTCCCGTGAACTTAGAATCTTGAAATTTCGTACGAAGTCACGTCTTATAGTACAGATATAGGAAAAATTACGAAAACCATAAATTTTTAGTTTCATCATATAAAAATAAAATATTTTTGACAATTTCAAAGTTACTACTTCTTATCTCATGAACGCGTTGAGATATTAAATTAAAATTCATATTAAGTCTTTAATAATTTTAAACTGTAACAAAATCAAACTTTTATTTCAACGCAATCGAAAGAAATAATAACAATTTAAGAAGCATATTTTCAAACTCGCGATGTTGGTTGAACTTTTACTTATATACCTACAGGTTTGTACGGAACCCTCGGTGCGCGAGTCCAACTCGCACTTGACCGGTTTTTTTTTTATAGCGTGGAACTTCTCTTCAGTCTTATAAAATGTTCAAATGGTAACGCAAATAACAAATATCATGGCAACTGGGCATTATTAAGCAACGGATTAAAATATATGTACGTGTTGTTACTAGACTTTCCGGATCTAAACTGAGTTACGTACTTACCATATGAATTTTGCTATACCAAAAATGTTTATATATATTTTTATTTATTGTAGGCCTTTGTACAAGTGAATTGTGAATAGATCTACAAAATAATTTGTATGCTTATTACGTATTCAATTATTATGAATGGCAAAATTAGATTATCTGTATAAATTTATTATTAAATTGTTCGTGCAAAGAAACATTTTAAATTATGCAAACCACAGACAATTCTAAGTAAGAATTTAACAGAATATAGATCATCAGTAGGTACACCTTAACATTTTTAAAAATCCAAAATAATCTCTTGGCAATAAAAACCCAAATGAATACTTAATTATTGATTAAAAGCAATGCAATTCGTGATCTAATCTTCATTGAACCTAAGAAAAAATTACTTGACCAAACGCTTGAATAAATACATTAATAATAATTAATAACAAACCGTACTCTTCTAGGTATAAAATTGTTTTTTTATTTTTTTTTTTTTCGTAAAATATAATCGGCAATAATAATTATTATTTTGGGTGCTTACTTGTAGGAATCATGAAAATATAAACCATCAATTGATAAAAGTCCATGGCTTAAGAATGTGTAAAATAATATGTTTTTTAAGTCGGTTTTCATAAATTGTATTTTTTTTGCCAATATTTTAACAAATCATTATAATTAGGTCTTCTTCTCGCGACGTTCTACATATTATACATTACGACTAGGTATTGCAATCTTTAGTTTTGTATACACTATAATCAAGTGTGTATCTAGAATATTTTACGTAGGTTAAAATAACAAATCCTCTTGAATAAACTGTATAGTACTACATTATCATATTCCTTCCAGCATTCTGACTATTATTTGAACAATATAATATTAAATTTAATACGAGTACTTAAACTCTTCTCCACGACAGATTAAAACTCATCATCTTATGTATAACTCTTTGATTTTAAGAGTTATAAATAATTACACATTGTTACGAGGAAAAAGAGTTTTCCAACAATCAAACAACTAAGTTGTCCTAATAATATCTAATCGATACAATTTTATCTATTTTTTTCTCATTAATAAATTTGATTTTACAAAGTATTAATAAAAACATTTCTTGATATTATGAACAAATTGGATTTATCAATAATTTACTAATGCACAACAGGAAACATTGAAATTGAAAAGATATGGAAATAGGACTGCTTGTGAAACAATAAATACATAATATTTTAGCGTATAAGGTTTGTTTATTGTAAAGTCTAATGATCGCAAAACTTTCATAAGTTAAATCCATGATATAATTAAATTTAAAAATTACACAATTTAATTTATGTTTTTGTTTATTATTATTATTTTTTTTTTTAAATATATTAGTAGTGTAATAATCCTGCCAAAAATTTAAACATTATTATAATCTAATGTTAATTCAACCTTCTTCAAATGCACAGTAATAAATATAAACTGTCCAAAAAAAGTTTAAGGAAGGAAAAACATGTGCACACCCTATTGAAAATATATGTCTATGGACTTATTTTGTATTAAAAAAAAAAGTACAAAATATAAATAAATAAAAAAAATTACACAAAAAAAAAAAATTGAGATATACATCAAGTTGTAGGCATTCTATTATGTACATACAATACATACACATCATTATATGTTAGACCCTGATAGACGTTAAGCCCAAGTATTTATACACTTTAGCCAAAGGATCCAATTTTTATAATTTTTTTTTTTTTATTTAACTTTTTATTTATATATTATTGTACATAAGCAAAACGAAATCAACAATACTGCTCACGCAAAACAGTATGGCATACGATGACTGTGTAAATGGCTCAGCAATAGGTGTTTAAGCTGACGTCTTGACAGGTTTCCTTTGAGGAAAATCTAGTGAAATCCAACAACCATATTCTTATTATCAAATACAAACAATATCTCAAACACATGAAAATCTTCCAACATATGATACTACATTTTTTAGGCAAAAAAATTCAACTGAAACATATCTTCTCGTTCATAATTCTATAGTCCATAAATATATTTATACAAGATAAACACTGAAATAACTTAAGAATTTACTCATTCTCAAATTTAACTTAATTAGCAAGACATTTGGTTTTTTAGAATACAAATTATAATTTAATAAACACGGTATTTCTAATTAACTGCAATTAATAGCTGGGTTTTTATTTTTATCTTAATAATTGGGAATCAACATTGAGACCATTAAGGTAAATAATAATTGTTATTTCAAAGAAGTGTAAGTAACAAATAATTTATTGTCATGAATAAATGTAAGTGTGATGAGATGACTAAATTAAATCAATTATTAGTCGCTGCATAGATTCGCCACAAAATATTTAGCACAAATTTAAGAGCAACTGTGTCAACAGAATAATGGTTATTCTTTGTTAAACATAAACATACAACATAGCAAATTACCATCCCAGATTAATATTATGTTTGTTGTTTTCATGTTAGAGCAAATGTATATTATATTTGTACAATAACTTGATATTATAGTTATAGTCTACAATCAAAATGTAATTTGCCATGTTGAACTTAATTTTAATTTGTGTTTTTATAGTCATCCTAAGTAATTCCCCACTCCCTGTAAACATTAATATGTATTTATAACATAATACGCTTATAATATAATAGCTAAATTATTCAGTTAATAACTCTTATTAAATAAAAAACTCTTATTAAATAAATAATAAAATAAATTGTATATTAAATGAAATAAATACAGGGAGTGGATAATTGTAAAATAAAAATTACTAATAATAAAAATAACAAAACAAAATGTGAAAATAAAATTATTAATTCAAAAAGGAAATATAATACTTTTATTTTACACTATGTTCAATTATTTTGGAATGCAATCAATATTTAGGGTTTACCTTTTCCTCCACGATTTCCATGGACACCACGTGGTGCAGGTGGTTCATAGCCTCCATACTGGTAATCTAAAATAAATTATTATTAAATACTTAATAAAATAATTAAAAATAATAATACTAACCTGCTCCAGCACCAGCACCGTAACTTGGATAACCATAACTATAACTGTAATCAGGACTGTATCCTGTGTATTGATTATAATAATCATATCCTAAAATAATTAACATAAAATATATTTATATATAAGGCTAGTATTTATAATGTGTATTTACAGTAGAAAGTGGTTATAGTGACTTTCTATGTACAGAGAAAAAAGTCGTTATAACCGGTGGGTCACAAAAGCATGTAGTATACAATTTACTTTGTTAAATACCTAAGTATGTAGGCATGTATAATATAATATACACAAACTATATTTATTGAAAAAGTTGTATATTTTTTAAGTAAATTGCTTTTTCCATGCTCTGACCTAGTGGATCGCCCCCGATAACATAATTTTTTGTTTTTTTAAAGACACTATGAAAAAATAGACTGTGTTAGTTGCACACGTTACTGCACATTTTAACAATACAAAAAAATGTTATGAAAATTTATTGGAACATTTGATCAGTTGCGACTCATTAAATAGTGCCGTTATAACTGATTTCTACTGTATACTGTTGACAGAAAATGCATTTACCTCCATAGCCGTAACCAGGAGCACCGGGGGCGTATCCAGACTGAGGTAGAAAACCTGTTAAAAATATTAGATGTTATATATAACAATAAGTTATTATTATATACAATATTAATAATAATGAGGAATAATAAATAATAATGTATAATTACCTCCTCTACCTCCTCGACCCCTAACATTCCCTCGCATACCCCTCATAGGTCCTGAAGCACCAGGCATCATTCCATAAGGCTCTACTTTTAATGCTGCTTTTTTTACATCGACCTAATAAATATTTATAAGGAATAAAATAGTCTCAGTAATTATATATATAAATTAATTACTTGTTTTCCATTAATCACATGTTTTGGCGTTTTTAATATTTCCGTTACTGCCTGCATGCAATCAAATGTAACAAAGCAAAAACCTTTTCGTTGGTTTTTAACTTTATCATATGGCATTTCAGCGTTCACCAGCGGTGCATAACGTTTGAAATAATCTTTAATATCATCATCAGTTAAATCAGGAGACAATCCTCCAACAAATAATTTAACATGTCGTGCTTTAGCTTTTTTGGGGTCAATTTTCTTGTCATTGATTACATGATTAGTACACGCCAAAGCCTTATTTAAAATAAAAATAATAATAATTTTCAATACACACATAATTTGAATAATATACATATTAATGGAATAACGAGAAAATAATATTTTTTGTCATAACTATTTTACCAGAAACCAAAACTTGAATATTACTTAAATAACTATTTAATTACATTAAGAGTATTAGGGGTTTAAACTTAAAATATAATAATATATAGGTAGGTAGTAAATATAGTAAAATTCTTAGCTATAATAAAATGGTATATAAAATACATTTTAAGTATTCATAATTTGTCTATTATTGATTCAGAGGTAACTAATATTGGAGAAGTTTATTGATTACTTGACCAGTCATACAGTTTGATAACAATTGTTAACGTATGATTATATTTAAAGTCTGCACAAAGACCTTGTATTTGAGGAAGTTGAATTATTTTAGCAATCAAACCAATAACTGAACAGTATAAAAATATAATTATAAGTTGAAAAAACTATACATACTTCAATTAATGATAAAAATTATCAATAAATAAAATTTAATAAGATTTTAATCATTTCCTGCGCCTTACAATTAAAAATATTATTTTTTTAAATTATTTCTGTAGATTATAGGAGTAAATATTTTTTTAATAAAAATTCTAGAAAATAAAACCTTATATGAATTTTTAAGACATTGTACACCTTATGAAATCTATATAATATGTATGCAGTATGAAAAGTGAGTGAATTTTGTAGTATATTTCGGTCACGCACAAAACAATAGATGAATATTATGCCAACTTATGCATGTAAGTGAATACTATTCACACATTAACAATAAAATTACTTTTCACACAAATACACACTGAACATAAAATTGCCTACAAAGCCCCTTAAATAAATGACATCATCTAATTTATTACCCAAGTACACTACAAACAGTTGTCCCAAAATGATTGTTGGAATATAAAAATTAGTAAACTAATAAAATGAAATGGTGTACTAACATTGTCTAGGCCTTCCATTGTTTTGTATACAATGAAAGCGAACCCTCTCGCCCGACCAGTGGCAGCATCTACTTTGACATTAATATTTTCGATTTCACCAAACTGACCAAAGTGTTCACTTAAATCTTCTAAAACATTAACAAAAAAACAAGCAATTGATTAAGATTTCTGAGGGACTACCAACAAGTGTTTGCCACAAACTTACTTTCAGTAGTTTCTCCCTTGAGCCCTCCGACAAATATTTTTCTGCAACACAAAATAACAATATTAATTTTCGAAACGTTCGGCAAAACGAAACAACGAACGCGATTGGAAACATCGTCGGGGCCACAAAGACGCAAACGGTTCGAGTAATTTCGAACCGCAACGAAAACCGATGGGACCACGGAAAAACGTAGAAGCGCACTTCGAATCCTAACCTAATATTGGTAGTCGCCAAAACTCCCGGGAAGAACGGAGGCAAACTGAAAATCCATTTTAAAACAAACGGCCACGGCAAACGACGAGGCTCGAGCGGTTAGCAGTATTTCCCGGGAAACGACATCGAGAGAACAGGGTACCCGACGTTTCCGCGTTGGCGGCGGCCCGCACACGCCGAACGTTTCCTTTCGATTCGACGGGCCGATTCGAACGGCGGTTTCGTCTTACCTGTCGTCGTCCCGGACGCATTCAAATTGTCCGGAATCATTGTTGGTTGTGGAATTTTCGGCGGTGCCGTTCAGGTGCTGTTGTTGCTGCTGCGCGTCCGCGGCGTTTTCAAACTGTTGCGAGCCGTTTTGTTGCTGGTTGTCGGCCATTCCTGATGAGTGCGATACGTCCGCTTACAAAAAAATATTAATACTAACACGCCTAAATATTTGCCTAAACGTTTAAACGACACTATATAACAATACAAAACAATTATTTAAGTAAAAATGTACGCGTCTAAAAATAGGAACGAGAACGGAGTTTAAGGATGAGAACTGAGAAGACGCTATAGACATGGGTCGAGATAGCGTCTCGTAAACAAAAAAAATGGCCGCTGGAATATCCGCAGCAGTAGCGGCGCACACCGGCGAACCACGATACCGGGTTGTCAGCAACACGTCGCTACCGAGGTAAACGAAGTTGCAACCTCTTTGCTAAATATATTTAGCGGCAATCCGTTGCGTCTCTAGTAAATTATAACCATTACTGGCCATGCCTGAAGTTAATAATTAAAGAACGGTGGTATTTCATTGTGTATTTACCAGACATAAATATTATATAACAAAGGCACATTCAAACAATGTCGTGGTATCTATGGTTACAAGTTAACAACTGGTAATAATATTGGATACTTAATTTGAGCTGTACATACTGCGACCTTAGCTACAGCTGCTGCCTTAGTTAATTGTTGGTATTGCAACATGGTTATTACATGGCAACCAAAAAGACAAAACAATAACGACCTATCAGAATGGGATTTGATCGACACACAACATGCCTTCGTCCTAGCATTACTAGATTATGTTATATCTGCGGTCTTTCTTTATATTTTACCACAACATAATTTCATAAATCTACAGGCGGTCTTAAATCCAAAAATATTTATCTTACAGTGTAATAGTATTTACTACAGCAAGGTCGTTGCATACATTTATCGAAAGAACTTAAGACCTCCCATCTAGATCCACCAATACAATCAGTACCTACAGTCAGGGATAAAACATGACGGATATTATACTCACATCTTCAACATAAATCGAAATTCCTTATGCACTGAAAAGTAACAGGCAACAACTAGAAACTCCCTAACATACCTGTTTTCATAATCCAGATGCTGAAAATCAAATACTATAGTCTATAATACGTAAAATGTACTACTGGTGGTTGATTATATTAAACCGGTTTCGACAAACCAACGTCTTAAATGACAAAATTGAATTAATTTCCCAGTATAGCCAATTTTCATTTACACCTTAGGCCGGGGCTATACACGGCGTATTCCTCATCGTTTTCCGTCGAATTAAAAACGTATAGGTTTAAATCGGAGCAGCTATACACGACGGGCGTAATACGCCGCGTTTTCCGCGGTGGAAAACGCAAGGCGAACGACGTTTTTTGCCGCCCCGAAAAACGCGGCGTATTACGCACGTCGTGTTAGCTGCTCCGATTTAAACCAATGAGTACCTATTTAATTCGACGGAAAACGATGCGGAATACGCCGTGTATAGCCCCGGCCTTAGTAGTCACTGTAAAATAATGTACGCATGCAACAGCATAATATAATATATTATTAGTCTATGCTACAACCTGTACGGCAATTCAAATACAAACACTGATTTTAGTAATTTATTACTGCTACTTGAAAATTATCCTAAATACCCTCTATGTCCTTATTGCTTATTATTTTAAAATTTTAAATGCGATTGCCAATTAATCAACTACTTTCATATTCAGCCCATGGACAAATAGCCAGTATATTACTAGATGCATTATTATAATTATTAAAGCTGAAATATTGAGAAAAGATTATCTAATCTCAAGTTTATAATTTTGTAATTTGTAAGGCAATACATATTGTTATTTCAATCATGTGATTCATTCATTAAAGAAAATATCGTATGGATTCAAGTTTATTGTTTTCTAATTTATATAAATAAATACATATTTAATTTCAATGGAACAATTATTTTTCATTTGTCCAATAAAAGTATCAGATATCTATTGCAAAGGCCCTAAAATATTTTATTATATGATATATTATATTTAATATTATACAAAAAAAAATTCAAACATATTAAATTATCATATAAAAATCACACAAGTAAACCAAAATTAACTAGTATAATAATATATGCACAAGTAGTGCAAGTCTTTAAAAATGTCTAATTTTTATTTAATGGAAATAAAAATACAAACTAAACTAAAAAGTAAAAAAAAAGTAAATTTATATTATAATTTACCATATGGTTTGTGCTTAATTAAAATAATATTAATTTTATGTTTTATTTGTACATTTCATTGATTATATGTTAAGAACATATATCGCTAATTAGAGAAGGGAGGAGGAGTTCTACTATTTTCACAAGTCATTATTGTCATCAAGAAAAATGATTTGTTTATATATAAAAAAAGATTATGTCATTTTACAGTGTACACACTCGAACATACAAACACACACACAAATAGGGAGAATGGTATTTAAAATTTAATATGGAGCATGTCTTGCACCGGATCCTCGAGATGCTCCTCTTGTTTTTCCAGCACCATTAAATGCAGCTATAAAAATATGATACAAACCACAGTTAAGTATTATTTTTATTTTTATTTGCATTTATTATTGTTACCTCGGCCTCTAGTAGCAGAAACAGGAGCTGGCGGAGCTTCATATCCATAACCGTAATCTGAATAAATATTATGTTATAATAGTTACAAACATTTATTTAATAAACATTAAAAAAGACTAATTGTTATCAATCTTACCATATCCAGCATAGCCATAGCTACCATAATAATCAGCTTCATAACCTGGGTATGTAGCTCCTCCATAATAGTCATATCCTTGAGGAGGGTAAGCTGTAAACAATTATTTATAGATGAAAATTAAATAAAATATTTTAATAGTTTTATTAAAAACTAGACAATTCTGTCAATATTTTCAGAATAAAATTTTTTGTCATTTACATTCAGTAGCAGAACTGACTAAAAATAACTCATAATTAATACTATTATTTAATGATAATAATTATACTTATATTAAGGACACTATGCCCGCATACATTGTCTTGTCTTACAACCACACAACACAGCATTTGCACATTCTGAACAATTCTTTCGAGTTTAATTTTAGAGTAAATTGATCAATTATGAAATTAAGAAGTCAGAACATTATCATATGAATGATTAGTTTTTTTATATTTTTGTTTTAAAGCGAATAAAAGCAAAATGAAAACAATTTACAATTTCAAAATGCTCATAACTCACTTAAAAATTAAAAAAACTGTCATTAACTAGATAATATTCTTACTTCTAAATTTGGTAATAGGTCAATTCACTTTAAAATTAAATTAATTATTCAGATAGTACAATTTGCTATATTCTGCTATAGTAAGACGGAAACAACAGTGTGGGGGAGAGGGGGTATTTTCTAAATATTTATTATTTCAGAAAATCATTTTCTTCAACTACATTCAGTAGCAGAACTGACTTAATAAATACTCATCATCAATAGACAATAATGTTATTCGCTTACAAGTTACACTAGTTAAAAGCATAATTGATGGTTTTTTTTATGTTAAGTAGGTATATTTTTAAGCCACAGAACACATGTGGGGTTATGCACAAAATGATCAAGTGAATATTTTACAATTTGGGATTACATTTTTTATTTTAAATAACATCATAATTTTTTTTTATTTTACTGGGTCACTTTACTTACGTTGGCAAGTAAGTTATTTCGATATGAGAAAATTGACTAAGTGAAATAATAAATAATAAGAATGTCAAATTAAAATCATAATAATTTTCATTTAATCAATTTTTGCCTAACGGCAGTAAATATTATATATTATTATAGTATGTACTTATTTATTGGTTAAACCTTTAAACTGGAAAAAAGTGTGCTTGAATATAATTTGGGGTAAAATATTATTGGATGAAATATTTAATTTTTTTCCATTCAATTTCAGAAAATTTACTCTTCAACTGTATTCAGTAGCAGAACTGACATAATAAATACTCGTCATTAACAATGTTATTTACTTAAAATAGTTATAAAAATACACATTAAAATGTATTATTTCAGAACATAATATTCTTCAATTATATTCAGTAGCAGAACTGGTTTAAAAAATACTCATCCTTAATATTTATACTAAAAACAATTGTATTAAAACTAGATTTTTCAGAAAAATATTGTCTTCATTCACATTCAGTAGCAGAACTGACTTAAAAAGTACTCATCATCAATTATGTTATTTCTTAAAATAGAAAAATAATACATTATAATATATTAAACATACTTTGTTATTTCAGAAAATGATTTTCTTCAATGATCTTAAGTAGCAGAACTGACTAAACAAATACTAATCACTAATACTATAGATTTTGAGTACAATACCTAGATCGCTCACTGTGGTACAAAATAAGCTACATTTACTAGCGATTCTGGATAATACATCATGATTGCCATTAAATTTACCATATTATATTTTGTACCACAGTGAGCAATCTATAGTATTCATAACCAATGCTGATACTAATACTAGAAACGATATTGTATTAAAATTTATTTTATCAGGAAATAATTTTCTTCAATTACATTCAGTAGCAGAACTGACTTAAAAAGTACTCATCATCAATTTGTTATTTACTTAAAAAGAAATAAAAATACATATTTAACACTTGTTATTTCAGAAAATTATTTTCTTCAATTACTTTCAGTAGCAGAACTGACTAAATAAATACTCATCACTAATATTTATAATTATACTAGAACATTTGTATTACCAAGGTTTTGTTCAGAAAATTATTTTCTTCAATTACACTCAGTAGCAGAACTGACTTAAAAAATACTCATCATAAATTTGTAATTTACTTAAAAGGAAATAAAAATATATATTTAACACTTGTTATATCAGAAAATTATTTTCTTCAATTACTTTCAGTAGCAGAACTGACTAAATAAATACTCATCATTAATATTTATATTTATACTAAAATATTATATTACAATATATTTGCTCAGAAAATTATTTTCTTCAAACTACATTCAGTAGCAGAACTGACTTAAAAAATACTCATCATCAATTATGTTATTTACTTAAAATAGTAATAACATTTTTTAATATATTTAACATTTGTTATGTCAGAAATTTATTTTCTTCAATTACTTTCAGTAGCAGAACTGACTAAATAAATACTCATCACTAATACTTATGCTAAAATGCTGTATGGTAACAACACTTGTATTACTTGTACAATATATTATTTCAGAAAATTATCCTCTTCAATTACACTCAGTAGCAGAACTGACTTAATAAATACTCATCATTAATACTTTATTTAAAATATAGGCATATATTTTCAGAATATTTGAAAAAAATCACCAAGACACACTCAACTTAATCCAACTAAGAATAACCTAGAGATAATACCAAAGCTTATGATCAATATTAAAAAGGTATATTATTGAAGAATCATGATTTTATCATTAGTTAAATTAAATTAAACTGTTTTCAATTGCATCACAATAAAAATACACAAAACTTTTCTGTTTTGCATTATTGAATGGGTGTTAATTTAGTTTATTTAAAAACATTAATTTATTTTCAAAAGAAAAACAGTCTTACCTCCATATGTCCCGTATGGTGCAGCATACGGCCCATATGCTGAAACAAAAAAGGTAAAAAAATAATTTTATTTTTAAAAATATTAATTAATTAATTTTTTAAATAAAAAGTTAAAATCCCATTAAAAATATTTTCAAATCCAAAAATAAACTTTAATAAAACTTATTTTTCCCAAACAAAATTGATTTAAACCTTTTGTTTCAGCATAATTCAGTAATACCATAAAAATAAAATTAAAATTATCCCATCATCTAATGTTTTTTTATTTTTAAGTTTTTACTAGACTAAAAATGGTGCATAGTAATTACTTGTCTCGGTTTTTGTCGAAGTCTTCATCAATCATTACTTAATTACAAGCTGAAGCACAAATAAAAAGACGCTGTAAAATTGCGTCTATAAGAACTTAAGACTCGAAATAATTGCAATCCATACATTTTGATATTAAGTATTGCGACCCAGATAGTTTAAGTTCAAACTAGATTTCACAAATTGATTTTTGTTGATTTAAAAACAAATGTAATGAAAAAAAATGAAAGTGTACATGGCAAAACTATTAAGCATAACAAGCAGATGCTGATAAGACCTTTAGACTTAATGTGATTTTTGTTTATTTGGTTACCCCATGAACACTTACCTTTTACCACTGGAAAGCTCTCTACTGAAATTTTATTAAAAAAACCGTAAATGTGTTATAATCAAAATTAAATGTAAAAAAAAAACCTGGGACGCAATACAAATTCTTATAACAATATTATTGATCATATTATATTCAACTAATATAAGAGATTCATATTAACAGACATACTATGAGATTTAATTTAATACTAGTTAAACTAAATTTGTTGCCAACAAAATATTGTAATTTTATTTTGTTATAAAATAACCTTATATACCTAATTTGTATTCCTACTTAACGTAATTGAGATGAGAAATTCATAATTATTCATTTTATACGATAATATTGATCAATAGCTTAGATACCAAACTGCTTAAAAATTAATTTTTTTAAAATATAAATAAAGAAGCAAATTCCATTGTATATCTCAAGCTAATTTAGATAAATACTACCAAGTACAACTAATAAAAAACTATTCATGGGGAAAATTAAGTAGCAATTGAATAGTTAAATACAGAAAAGAGACATGCAATCTAATTATATTCCAAAAGAAACAAAATATAAAATTATCTGATAAAAGAAATTTTTTGAAAAAGGCTTGCATTGAATATTTCATTATAATCTCAAATGAACTCGTTTTTATGAAAAGGAACACGTGGTTTCTTCTGTATTCAACATTACTCATAAAATATAATAAGTGGTTTTTATAAACATATCTAATTTGTGCTTTTTTTTTTTTTAATTGGCTAAGGATAAATAATTGTATAAAAGTTTAATTTACCTCCACGGGCTGCTCCTCGACCTCTCATTGCTTTAGGGTTAGCATAAGGATTAGCAGGCTTGGGTGCTGCTTTTTTAACATCCACCTATAAAAATACAAAAATTAAATATTTATAAAAGATAAATAAATAACTAAATATTTGGTACATACTTCTTTGCCTTTAATTGTTTGTTTGGCAGTTTTGAAAAGATCTTGTACCTTATCACTAGATTCATAAGTGATAAAACAGTAACCTTTACGTTGGTTTTTCATTTTATCAAAGGGAACTTCTAAGTTGACAATAACACCCCATTTTCCGAAAAATTCTTTGATTTCATCATTTGTAACATCAGACGGCAAACCACCAACAAACACTTTCTCTTGTTTTGCTTTCGCCTTCTTAGGGTCAATTTTCTTGCCATTAATAACATGGTCACCAGCAGCAAATGCCTATTTGAAAAAAATTAAACTGTAAAACAATTGCACAATTTTTTTTTTTTAAAAATGTAACTTTACATTATTTAATCCGTCAACGGACTTGAAAATTATAAAAGCAAATCCTCTGGAACGCCCAGTCGCTGGATCAGTCTTTAAACTAATGTTAGTGATCTCTCCATATTGAACAAAATGTTCTTTTAATTCCTCTGCAAGTAAAATAAAAATATTCTTTTATTATATTATTAAAATGTCTGTTGAGTAGCCAAACCCCAAAAGGGGTTTTCAACTTTAAATTCATGGGTATTCTTGCAACGATAGGAGAAAAATAAATTTTTATTCACTATTAAGAACCTTGGAGATTGCCACTATCTAGATATTATGTCATCAGTAGGTACTAATCAAGTTCAACACATTGTGGGAAATAATAATATGCCATTCATTATTAAGGGGGAAAAAAGGAATTTGTAAAAACTAGTATAGGGATTTTTTTAGGATAATAGACTACTTAATTATATACAAGCTAAAATATTACTCACTTTCTGTGGTTTCCCAGCTTAAACCACCAACAAATAATTTCCTAAAATTAAATAAATCAAATTAGATAAAACATTATGATATTAATTTTAAATAAGTTAAAATTGGATATAAAGACAAGGAATTTTAGACAAAATATTTTTAAGATTTTGCTGTTAATCAAAATAAAATAGATTAAGATCCATACAAGATAATAAATTACACGTTTATTTTCCCCAATATAAGATATTATATAGCATAGTAACTTTTTATAAGTAATAATCATAATTATAATAATAATAGTAATGTATAAATATTAGAAAAAAAAAAACAAGTACTAGGTAATTTATATCAAATTTTTTTTTCAAGTTTCAGATTAAATATATTATATAAAACACTGCTTTTGCACCTTAAATGATTAAATTCGATTTCCCATGAAATGTCTTTAATAAATTAACAATGTACATAAAATAAATTATATAAACAACCTACAATCGAGTTATAAAATATATTCGTAGTAATTATATAGTAAAAAAAACAAAAATTTATACTCCATGAAATACTGAAGGACTGGGAGTGGAACAAAAGATAAGGATATTTAAGATACACAAACTTTCAAATATATTTCAATTTACAATCATGAATTGTATTTGAAAGTTTTCTATATTTATAATATTTCTCATAGCTGAATTTTTGTAAAAAAAAATTAATTACAATACAATTAGTTATAAAAATAAATGATTTATAAAATTCATTTTATAAATATTTGGAATTATAAAAAATAAAATACATAATTAATAAATTACATTTAAGCTTCATAACAAAAAATTACAGCTAATCGAAATTCTAAGACTAAAAGTAAAAAATCCATAGAAAAAAAAAAAATTAGAGGTTTTTCTCTTACATAATAGGTGATTAAAACAGAGCCTTTCAATACTTCTTAGAAATAAATATTTACCTTTTTTAATAAATTAATTATCTTTATATATACACAATAAGCCCGTCAAAAGATAATCAAACAGAATTTAGCTTATTAGCTATTAATATTTTTGAATGGATTTTTTACTCAATTTATACTAATACACCACAACCATACATTAATTGTCTACTCTTTTGAGGCAGACAACAAATGTTTAATTTTCAGGAGAATGAGGAAAATATACCCCTAACAAAAAAAAAAAATTTAAAAAAAAGAATAAATGAAATTATATATGTATATATATACATATAAACATATATATATAAATATATATTAACTTAATCATAATATCAGAATACATAAGTATTAGAATTACATTAGAACAAAATGTTTTTATTATTTTTTTAATACTACACAAGCAGGCCATAAATTGTAGTTCAAAACAGAATCTTAGGCCAACAAATTCTGCAATGAATCATGTGTGTATTATTTAGTGACGAGAACTGTAACATAATAAATTGCATAAATGTTTTTTTCTTGAACTTCAATATAATATTTACTCTAAAACAGTTTTTACTGAAACTCGATGCATAATTAATTATTTAATTCATACTAAGTTATTAATACAGTTCATTCTCCAGTTATTTATTGTTTAATACTTAATGATTCCTACCATTTGGTAGGTGATGATACTGCCACAGTCGCCGCAATAAAATCAGTCAGCCATTGTCAAACGTATACCTGTTGTACAATGTGTCCATAATTTAAACATCCGTTCTTCAATGAATGACATGATCGTCACCTGCGCATATTTATACACCACGTTGAAAGGTAATCGATACATAGGCCTATACGGTCCTGAAGAGACGCAGATTATCATGGAAAATAATTTACATGAACTTTTCTGCTCGTTCAAATTGTGTTATAATAGTTAAATAATTTTGTTTGCATCCAAAGTTAAGGATCTTGAAGCCCATCGAGAAGAATTTGTAACCCTTGAGAAGTAGGCAAGCCAACTTGTAGATCTTCATTAAGTTAACACAATTATTAATATAAACATTATACGTTAACATTATCAATAATAATAAAATCAAACAAAAAATTTACAAATTAATCTAACTTAAGTTACATGATAAGTAATTGATTTAGCCTAGCCAATTTATTGTGTAAGTTACAAATTAAGTTAAAACTTAAAACTGTTCTAAACCAATATTAAAGGCTTTATGCTTTAATAAAAATTAATATCAAACAATAATTTATTCAATAGTAGCGTCTCTTTATGACCAATACAGAAATACTTACTTATGATTTTTCAGTAACAGAAGTAATAAAATTATTTATAATAATATAATTTTACACAATATCATTCATATATCACTATGTCGGATAACTCTTTAACACAGATCTAAATAAAAAGTTTAGTAGGAAATTATAATTAATATTTGCCCTGGAAAATTTGGATTATATTACAATACAGTAGGTACTTTTTAATAACTACCTAAGTAATGGAAGTAACAATCATAATTTAAAATAATCATGTTTTACTAATATGATTTGTTGCTTATTGGCAGATATGACTACAATATTATGGGTATATAAACTTTAGTAATTTAGTTTTTTTTTCCTGTACCTAAATGATTTTAAAAATAAATTTCTAAACATGTTTAACCAATTTTAATGATTTGATTAACATAGAGCAAGCAACAATGGTATAAACTAGTTAAAAAAAAAAATTGTCCAACATGAGGAATATATAAAATAACAAATTAGCTGAATAAAAATATTTATTTTTTATGATACCCTTGATTTAACAAGCATATTAAGCTTTTGCTGGAAAAAATGGGAACCTAACCTAAATTAATTCTTTTAAATATTCAGTAGTAAGACTATTTTTTAAAATAAATACAGAAGTAAAAAGATACAATTGAGCTAAAAAAAATGTCCTAAATAAACCTGAAACATAAGTAGAAAATTCCAAAAAATAAATAGGAAATCCACACAACAAACCTAAATTTAATAAAATTAACAACGAGAATATTATATATATTACCTTTCATCAATAATATTATTTAAATGTTGGGTACCTTTGTAATAAGTTAACTTTTAATTGGGATAAGGAGACAATTGTTTGGTACACACGTATAAATACTGTAAAATAAGGTCGGTGTTAACGTCAATAGACGGTTATTAGTCAGACTAATATTACGACTGTATTAGTAAAGCACCAAATACTCTGGCACTGCAAAGACACTATGTGACGCCTTTGACATAAAAATTGCTTGCACTACCGCCGGCAATGAATGGAAAAAATGGGCGACTTTAGGTACAATAAGTATTCTTACGTAGGTAAGAAACTGAACTTTCGGTTCACTTTTCAACACAATGCTTTGAGCACAATTGATGGCACTTGACGGACACCATTAAAAGCCTCTAGGCCAGCAACTCTAATGTCAATCTCACTTTTAGTGAATGATAAAATGACGGTTGCCGTAGATCATTATGAAAGCCGTAAAGGCGTAGGGAGCGTCACGCGCAGAGAAGCGCATTCGGAGTAGAGGGTTGTCCATTTTCGACAACCGACGCCGAGAAACGTTTGTGGACGTTGGGATCGGTTACAATATTATATTAATAAAGGTGGTAGGTAGGTACATCAAAATAACGAAATCCGCTCAAAAACGGTAAAAGGCAGCGACCGCCGGCGAAATGTTACCTGTCGTCTTCCTTGACTTGTTCCTCTAGGTTGGATTGATCGACGCCATTGTTGTCGTTGGTGCCGTTGGTCTGTTCTTTCGGTTGTTCGTCCGACATGTTCGCGGCTGTGTGTCGTCGGGTTTCGTGCGGACTGTGTGATTACCGTCAAGCGTTGTCGTCGGGGACGAGCGATGTGCCGGGTGACGGTAGCGAGAGGAAAAAATTGATGGCAACGCGAAACGGGATGGTGTGCTAGAAAAATGTTCTGGACGTAGATACGGGGCGGCAGGACGGACGTTTGGGCAGGAAGGCTTTAGAAAATGGCCGCTGGCGTCGGTCGGCACTCGGTGCGTCGTACAGGCCACGGGGTTACGGGGTAACGCCGACAGTTTACAGTGTGACCATCCTATTACGGTAAATGTTCCATGTCATTCGACCCGTGACTTCCACCCTCCACACCAACGATCACCGGTAAAAACTAAAAACGTCGTAAACAAACCGACGAAACGGATTCGATTTCGGATTTTGTTTTTTAGTTTTTACTGCCATGAAACTATAAAAAACGAAACGTCTGAGCCAGACGGTCTGGCAGTCTGGCGTAGTGGCGTTGTCTACATTCTTGACGGCATTCTATACAATAAACAATAATATTGTATAGAAATTTAAAATGTCGCGACTGCGCGTCATTGATTTTATTTTTTATTGCGCATGGGCACAAAATGAGACGACGGACGCACACGGCACCTATATCAATATCATTATTAGGGCCCGGAACTTGATGTATTTGCATCTTTTTTTCTTTTGCTTGCCTACACTACATTTGACAATTTGAGGCTCGTCTTTATTCTATTCGACTTATGTCGCGCAGAATTCAATGGTACAAATTTAATTTTGTCGGTATTTCTTGGTTGAAAAATCTTAATTTTTTATAAATTTGGTGCATATATTATCCATTTTTGAAATTTTTTTTATGTATATTCGCATTATTTTGGTTTAAACAGTTTGAGCTATAAATTATAATTATAAATAAAGCCAGCGCAGTATTTGCGCATACTTAAATTGTCCTATATATAACCCGTTTAATGGTAAATAACATATTTCATAATTTAATATATTTTTGCCCAGTACCAACTTACTATAATTTTTACATTTTAAGGACCCTGCAAATGTGTCATTTTTAAGGAGTTGTGTTTAGGCAATTATTTCGTCCGTGCGATTACTGATCGTCTTTGGGTGTGTAGTAATAATGATCATTAGTTGTGTATACTCCGCTGCCATCACCAGCGACCATCATCAATTTACAATACATTGTTATTTCTTATCTGGTTTATGGTCGCACGCACTCACATGCACAAGTCAATCAGCGTCTATAAAAAAAAAAAAAAATATAGATCCAAATATTCAAAACCAATTTATGGACGTGAAATAGCCGTCGCACTGACAATAATTTAGGTACTTCTAATGGTTCGATTTAAAAAATGTAAAGACGTTTGTATTAGTAAGCCAGTTTGCTTTGCATCGGTCGGAGCACTTTTTCAATTTTAATATATTTTTGCCGAGTACCTAATTTAACTTACTATAATTTTTACGGTTTAAGGCCCCTGCAAATTCGTAATTTTTAAGGAGTTGTATTTAGACAATTATTTCGTCCTTGCGATTACTGATCGTCTTTGGGTGTGTAGTAAATGATCATTAGGGTGTGTATACTCCTCTACCATCACCAGCGACCATCATCAATTTACAATACATCGTTACTTCTTATCTGGTTTATGGTCGCACGCACTCACATGCACAAGTCAATCAGTGTCTATAAAAAAAAAAAAATATAGATCCAAATATTCAAAACCAATTTATGGACGTGAAATAGCCGTCGCACTGACAAAAATTTAGGTACTTCTAGTGGTTCGATTTAAAAAATGTAAAGACGTTTGTGTTAGTAAACAAGTTTGCTTTGCATCGGTCGGAGCACTTTTTCAATTTTAGCAAATTTTTGACGAGAATAAATATTTTACATTTTATAAATTTATGAATTTTTAGTATTGAATATATTATTCAAAAATGTCTAAAATATAAAAATATGCTCCGGACTCCGACCGATGGAAAGTAGACTTGTTAACCAATTAACATTTTTAAATCGAACCACTAGAAGTACTTTAATTTTTGTTTGGTCGTTTTGATGAAAAATGAATAGGGTTTGCAGGAATCAACGAACAAAAGTCCGGTAAAAAAGACCCGCGAAAAAAAAGTCCGGTTTATTTATTAATGTTATTAAATATATAATAGCAATAATTTATAATACAATTATTACAATCGATATTATATAGATTAAATGTTAAAATGAATACTAAATAAATTAATAAATTAAAATACAAAAATGACTAAATTTGTCATCATTCATATAAATGTTTTGTAAACCTAAATCCTGGATTTTGCGAAATGTACTCTGGCATAGATGATAAAAGCAGCCTCTAATTTCTAATTCCGAACCAAAAATATTACTAGCCACTGTAATTACTGCTTTTTCGAAATCGACATGCAGAAACCTGGGGTCAGGAAACAAATTTTTCTCTTCCCATTTTTCAATTAATATTTTAAATACATTGTTTCATAAATTGAAGTTGTCTTACGTTCTAACAAACAATATACAGCAGTAATAAAAAAATCATTTTTTGGGACTCTTATAACGTATAATTGCATAAAATGCTCAGGACTGAGATTAAAATTTCCGTCACAATACCAAGTACTTGCCTCTGCTACGAAGTCCTTCATCCACAGCGAAAATGATAACTCTTTATTCATGGTTTAAATCCATGTTGTCGGATAATAAAAATTGTTTTTCTTCGTATATAATGACCAATCGCCTAAAATACGAATCAAATAATATCATTAATATTTCAAATGATTTATATTATAATTATATAGGTACATAATACTGTTCATACTACATTCAATAATAATATTTATTACGTAATACATTTTAAATGTTAACGTAATATCGCTTTAATAATAGAAAAATAAAATTGAGTTTTAAAAAATATAATTTTTTAATAAAAACGTTGGTTTTTTAACAACTTGAATCTATGTAAAAAAAAATTTTTAAAAACGTTAATAATTTTTGAAATAATGATAAAGGCGGGTTTCCACCATACACGTACGCGATCACGTGCATACAAATCCTTTCCTGTGATTGGTTGGTTATGTTAAGTTACCACACGATTAACCACGATACCGTGTTGTTGGAAATAGCTGAACATTTTTCGTGTACACGGCAAACGTGTATAGTGCGAACCCGCCTTTAAAGAATCACTCGGTATAAAAAAAAACGAATATTTCAAATGACTATAAATAATTTAAAATAAGCGAAATATTTACCTTCAATTTTCAAATGTTCTAAGCAAGTAGGTTTAGAAGGATTTAAATTGCTACGTTGCTTCTGAATAACACGCTGAACAGAATTTTCATTAGGTATATTCATTAAAATTTCATCCTGAAGACCACTGACCGCCTCGACAAAAATCTGACTTTGTTTATCTCTAGCTAGATATTTTAGCACGATTTTTTATTTTGTGTTTAAATTTTTCTACTTCCAGCATGTAGTATGTTATCTATTACTAGTTTTGCTTTAGAAATGTCTTTCGGTGTACATAATAGGGCAGGTCACTTGTATTTCTTCTTCAAGCTACATTTCCATCGTATACTTTTGGTTAATTTATGTTTAATTGTATACGAGAATCGAACGTACAATATTTTATTTATAATATTACCTTTTGTTTTAAATTTAAATATTTCACTCATTTTCACAAGATTTGGATTTAAAAACACTAATAAAAACGTTGAATTTCACAAAATGTACGTTTACCGAACATCGACTGAGCATTTGGTGAAATGACCAGTCACCAGGGTAAGTAAAGATAATTTGTAATAAATTTGTTATAATCTATAACATATAGGTAATAAAGATTAGATTCCTATAATGGCTAATACTGAAAAATAATAGTATTAGGTGACCCAACTTAATAAAGTCGTCAACAAACGATAAACTAAACCGATAATAAATAAATCGGACTTTTTTTCGAGGGTCTTTTTTTTACCGGACTTTTATTCGCCGGACATTTAGGTAGAATACCGGTTTGCAAGGGCCTTAATTAGTAAACAAATAAACAAGAAAAAGATAAACCGAAAGAAAGAATATTTATTTTAAGCAAGATAAATGTTCTTAACATTATATCGTGTGATATTTTAAATTTAAATCAAATATTAATTTTTATGTAATTTGTTGGATTGGTGCATTTTAACTCTTTTTTTCAAATAAATTAAACAATTTTAACTTCAATTTTAGATCATTTTTAAACATTTGTCATTTTATGCATTTTTTAAAAATTATTGTATAAGTCATCAAGTTCCGGGCCCTATAATGAACTAGCTGCTCCTGCGCACTTCGTTGCCCTTAAAAAATGATAACTTTTATATTGTTCAACTCTTTTGAGAAGTAACTCGCTGCAGTAAGTGCATTGTGCAGCTCTGCAGTGGCGTGAAACATAGGGTCCAAGCGTTGCTCAGGCAAAACCTTATAAATATGGGTGGGTAGGTATTGATAAAAGAAAAATTGTAAATTTTATAGGTTGGTATAACAGTAGGTATTATGAAGGGTGGGTCACCAAAAACTATTTGAGCAACACCAATTTTTTTTATGATACACGCCACTGGACTGCAACTCAGCTTCTCTGGTAGGCAATGTGCGAAAATTACATTTGATACTTGTACCCTATCTGCCCGATCAACCAATAATAAATAAATACTAATTAATATATTTCTACTCATTATTTCTCAATTCTCTTATAGGCTATAACCAATACTCAATAGCATCCATTTATAAACAAACATTTCCATTGTAAATCTCAAAATACCTGTTTAACTCCTATTGGTCGTAGCGTGATGTCATAATATATAGCCTTAGCCAGTAGCCTTCCTCAATAAATGGACAATCCAATACAAAAATAATTTTTCAATTTGAAACACAAGTTTCTGAGATTGCGTTCAACCAAACCGTTAGTTTTATAATTTTAGTATAGATTTATATAACTATATATTATTATATTATGTATAAATTTGAAGGC